TGTTGGACACAACGGTGTTGGTAAATCTACGCTTCTGCGTGCTCTGTCTCGCAGAGAACTGCCAATTCCGCCTCACATTACCATTCTTCACGTCGAACAGGAGGTAAGAATGATTGCCGGCCACCTCTAACTTTGGTGTGTACTAATGTCTATGTAGCTTACTGGTGACGATACGCCTGCAATCCAAGCTGTGCTTGATGCCGACGTGTGGCGCAAGGTTCTTCTCAAGGAACAGGCTGTAAGTGATTTGCAGTTGTAATTCCCTGTGGGACATGCCATCAAGCTGACAACCGTATAGGAAATCACTCAGAAGCTTACAGAGATTGAAAGCCAACGTGCGGGCATGGCTGATACTGCAGCCGATGCCGCCAGGCTTGACAAGGAAAGAGAAGCTCAAGATGGCAGGCTCGGTGACATCCAGGGCAAGCTTGCTGAGATGGAGTCCGACAAGGCTGAATCAAGAGCCGCAAGTATCTTGGCTGGTCTCGGTTTCTCGGCAGAGAAACAACAGAATGCCACCAAGACCTTCTCCGGTGGTTGGCGTATGCGTTTGGCATTGGCCAGAGCCCTGTTCTGCGAGCCCGACCTACTGCTTCTCGACGAACCGTCCAACATGTTGGACGTCCCGTCTATTGCTTTCCTGGCCAACTATCTCCAAGGTTATCCTAGCACGGTTCTCGTGGTTTCTCACGACAGAGCCTTCCTGAACGAAATTGCGACGGATATCATTCACCAACACTCACAACGTCTCGACTACTACCGTGGTGCTAACTTCGAGTCCTTCTACGCCACTCGCGAGGAACGCAAGAAGACTGCGAAGAGAGAGTACGAGAACCAAATGGCCCAGAGAGCTCATCTTCAGGCTTTTATCGATAAGTTCCGCTACAATGCTGCAAAGTCCTCGGAAGCCCAGTCACGTATCAAGAAACTCGAAAAGATGCCAGTGCTGGAGGCGCCCGAGACGGAGTACAGCGTGTCATTCAAGTTCCCTGATGTCGAGAAGATGTCGCCTCCTATCATCCAGATGACAGGCGTGACATTCGGCTATACAAAGGAGAATATCTTGCTGCGCAACGTGGATCTCGATGTGCAACTGGACTCTCGTATCGGTATCGTCGGACCCAACGGTGCGGGTAAGACAACCATCCTCAAGTTGTTGATCGGCAAGCTGTCGGCCTCATCCGGTATCATTTCGCAAAACCCCCGTCTGCGCGTCGGTTTCTTTGCCCAACACCACGTTGATGCTCTAGATCTGACCATGAGCGCTGTTGGCTTCATGGCCAAGGAGTACCCCGGCCGGACGGACGAAGAGTACCGTAGACAATTGGGTGCCTTTGGTATCACGGGTACGACAGGTCTGCAGAAGATGGTGGTGCTTTCTGGTGGTCAAAAGTCGCGTGTGGCGTTTGCTTGCCTTGCGTTGACTAACCCGCACATTTTGGTTCTTGACGAGCCTTCTAACCATCTCGATATCGAGGCAATGGACGCGCTCGCTACAGCCTTGCAGGAGTTCCAGGGTGGTGTTCTGATGGTTTCTCACGACGTCACCATGTTGCAGACAGTATGCACCTCCCTCTGGGTGTGTGACGGAGGTACTGTTGAGAAATTCCCCGGTGACGTCCAGGCCTACAAGAAGAGAATTGCAGCCCAGGCTGATGCGGCTGGCGTTGTCAAGTCTCATTAAGGGGATATATCGTGGCAGTCATAGTTTACATAGTTACAACTATTCCGATAAAAATGGGGACATGCTGCGGTCATCGGTCATCGATTTTCCCGGTGCTGATTGAACTTTGTGAACTTTTATGAAGTTGATCTGCGTTTGATGGCTCTCAGGCACACCGTTAGCTCATTTGGCAGCAATGGAGCCCCCTTGCAAATGTTGAGCTCCACTAGCAATTTAGCATTTTCGGTCAGCGCTTGGGGTCAGTGCCGAGCAATGTCATTCGTGTTGGCTGCTGTGTTTGACATTGGCTTTCGGTATGGCTGCCCGGTGCCGGTGCCGCACCTGCTCCGATTGCGAGAGAGTCCGTGGTTCCCCGAGCCCATCACCTTTGTCTGTACTTCATGCCTTAAATGCCCGGGCTTCTTATGGAGTGGTTGGCACCCGTGGCACCTTATCTAGACGTGTCGTTGGATGTTTGGATGCCTCAGCAGATAGTCGGTCACCCCGGGTCTCGGATCGGAGAGACAGAGGAGACGAAATACAGGGGACTTTGGAGTACGTACCTGACCTAGTCGTGCTGTCTGCCAATCTGCTGTCACCTCAACTCATTCAACCCCACTTCCAATTGGTCTTTGGGCGGGGCACTGGGGCCACTAGGGCGGCCACTTGGAGAGACTTGGGCGGCGTGGGCGGGTGCCTTGCACTGGTCTTTCCCCAATCGGGGTCGTGCACGGGCCTTGATTAGCACCACCACAGTAAACAAGCGAGCTGCACCCCTTCCCTTTGGCCTGTCGCTGGCCTGTCGCTGGCCTGTCGCTGGCCTGTCTTCTGGGCGTCCACCGAGCCGTGGCGGTGAACAAAATCACATCCACCCGCAAACAAAAATCAACAACCTCCTCCCCTACCTGACCACACCTTACCTCGCCCAATCCTCCACAACAACCCTTCGCCTTGAAGCTTCGCCTAGCTCTCGAGCACCTCTCTTCAACCTCTTCATCGTACATTGTCGGCCCAGTTAGCTTCAGAGCTTTCCATCATCCAAAATGCGTGAGATTGTAAGTCGCTCTCTCCCATCACAACAATTCTGCGACGCGTCCCGACGGCCACTATTTCGGGGTAGCCCCTGAGCGTACCCCGCCGATATTCCCACCCAAACGATGTTCGCCAAAGACAGCCGGACTTGCATCTCCAACGCTTTCAGTATGGAAAACATCCCGCTGACCATTGATTGTTTTCTCGCAACAGGTTCACCTTCAGACCGGCCAGTGCGTAAGTATCTCCTGATCTCGACCCAACAAGCCAGAGTGCGGGGCTAACTTCTTTGAACAGGGTAACCAGATTGGTGCTGCCTTCTGGTGCGTAGCCAACCGCCATCGACGCGGCGATTTCGACATTTGACACGATCTCATACTGACCTCGACACAGGCAAAACATCTCTGGCGAGCACGGTCTCGACAGCAATGGCGTGTATGTCTCTTGTCCTCCAGTGCAGCTACCTCGTGGACCCAGCAGCTAATCATACCACAGGTACAATGGCACTTCCGAGCTCCAGCTCGAGCGCATGAGCGTCTACTTCAACGAAGTTTGTTATCCTAGTCCTCCAGTGTGCAGGCAATCCTATTGACGAAAGCTGACCTTCTCACCCAACCAGGCCTCCGGCAACAAGTACGTTCCCCGCGCCGTCCTCGTCGACTTGGAGCCCGGTACCATGGACGCCGTCCGTGCTGGTCCCTTTGGCCAGCTTTTCCGCCCCGACAACTTCGTGTTTGGCCAGTCCGGTGCCGGCAACAACTGGGCCAAGGGTCACTACACCGAGGGAGCTGAGCTCGTCGACCAGGTTCTCGATGTCGTCCGTCGCGAGGCTGAGGGCTGCGACTGCCTCCAGGGCTTCCAGATCACGCACTCTCTCGGTGGTGGTACCGGTGCCGGTATGGGTACTCTGTTGATCTCCAAGATCCGCGAGGAGTTCCCCGACCGCATGATGGCCACCTTCTCCGTCGTCCCCTCCCCCAAGGTTTCCGACACCGTTGTCGAGCCCTACAACGCCACCCTCTCCGTCCACCAGCTGGTCGAGAACTCCGACGAGACCTTCTGCATTGACAACGAGGCTCTCTACGACATCTGCATGCGTACCCTCAAGCTCTCCAACCCCTCTTACGGCGACCTGAACCACCTCGTCTCCGCCGTCATGTCCGGTGTCACCACCTGCCTGCGTTTCCCTGGTCAGCTGAACTCTGACCTGCGCAAGCTGGCCGTCAACATGGTTCCTTTCCCCCGCCTCCACTTCTTCATGGTCGGCTTCGCTCCCCTGACCAGCCGTGGCGCCCATTCCTTCCGCGCCGTCAGCGTTCCCGAGCTCACCCAGCAGATGTTCGACCCCAAGAACATGATGGCTGCCTCTGACTTCCGCAACGGTCGTTACCTGACCTGCTCCGCCATCTTGTAAGTGCAATTCGATGACTTTTGGAATGCGAACACATACTAACTTGTTTGTTTCTAGCCGTGGTAAGGTCGCCATGAAGGATGTCGAGGACCAGATGCGCAACGTCCAGAACAAGAACTCGTCCTACTTCGTCGAGTGGATTCCCAACAACGTCCAGACCGCCCTTTGCTCCATTCCTCCCCGCGGCCTCAAGATGTCCTCCACCTTTGTCGGTAACTCTACCGCCATCCAGGAGCTCTTCAAGCGTGTCGGTGAGCAGTTCACTGCCATGTTCCGTCGCAAGGCTTTCTTGCATTGGTACACTGGTGAGGGTATGGATGAGATGGAGTTCACTGAGGCTGAGTCCAACATGAACGATCTCGTCTCCGAGTACCAGCAATACCAGGATGCTGGTGTTGACGAGGAGGAGGAGGAGTACGAGGAGGAGGTCCCTCTTGAGGAGGAGGTTTAAGCGCAGTCCGATTGCACTGTCACTATGACCTGAACTCACGCCAACCCACCTGTGGTGGCATTTCGCTTCGCGATTCTGGCTCCTTGCCGGAAAATGGGCTTCTAGATATACCTCTCTTAGTAGTTCGCCTGACGTATCAAATGAGTACGAAGAATCAGAGATTACTCTGTACAAATTATTGGCACAAACAACATAATTATTCAAATACCATCTCTTGTGACACTTGCCAATTATACTGCCCGAATTTTGAAAATCGTTGGTCGGTGAGCTTGAGCTACCGGCACCTCACCTTGCATTCCAGCTGAAATAACCTTGGCTACACTTGCTGTCCTCCCGGGGCTAAGCAGGGGCCAATCGGAAGGATCCAGATTGTGGATCACGTATGGCTGACTAAGACGTGGAAAAGTTGCTGAGGGTCCCCAATTCCATCTGTCGAGCAGCACATGAGCCAGCGCGCCATTGGGAGGTGTGAAGCTTGCCATTCATTGACGAACGAAACAATGCTGGCCTCCAGAACGGCATTGAGGCGGGCGTTTGCCGCCTCGCCGGCCACGACGATACCAGCAGCTTTCCTCGCACCAGCAGCAGCTCTGCAACACCAGCAGCAGCAGCCTCGCCAGTTCTCCTCGACGCCGACACGAAACTCCAAGCTCGGGCGGACACCGGTCTCGATCCCGCCCGGCGTCAAGCTCGCTATCAGCGAGCCGAAGCTGAAGAAGGATCCGACGAGTTATCTGAAGATTTACAAGAGAACGGTCACTGTTACGGGACCTCTGGGTTCGTTGCCCTTTTTGCGCGGCCCCCTTTTGTCTGAGAAGGAGGGAGAGAGAGACAGAGCTTTATGGTTGGGAAAGGGGGTATAGAGAAAAAAAAAAGCTAATATTGGTGTGCTTGTTTTGCCATAGGTGAATTGGACCTCGAGATTCCGCCTTTTCTGAAGATCGATTACGATGTCGAGGGTAGCACGGCGGTTCTGAGCGTGGAGGACTCGAATATCAAGGAGCAGAGCGAGATGTGGGGTGGGTTTATCTTTACCTTTTTGCTGTTCTTCTCGTCTTTCTCCTGTCCTCTCCCTTTTTCGAAGGAAGCCTCGAGCTTGTCAACTCGCCCGAGTCCTTCCAATCAACCAAACATCCTCGCTAACCCCTTCTTCCTCCCCTAGGCACGACATGGGCCTACCTCCAACGCTACATAATGGGCGTCTCCGAAGGCCACACAGCCATCCTCCGCCTGGTGGGCATCGGCTACCGCGCCTCCGTCGAGCAGCGAGGCCGCCTCGAAGAGTTCCCCGGCCAAAAGTTCCTCTGCCTGAAGCTCGGCTTCACGCACCCGGTCGAGATGGGGATCCCGCGTGGCGTCAAGGTCACGGCGGCGAGCCCGACGCGTATCTTGTTGGAGAGCATTGACCGCGAGGAGATGATGAGCTTCGCTGGGCGGGTGCGCAAGTGGAGGCCGCCGGAACCGTACAAGGGCAAGGGCGTGTTTATTGATGATCAGACGATTAAGTTGAAGCAGAAGAAGATCAAATAGACGATGCGCGCCGCGTGGACGGACGATTGGTGGAGTATGGGGATGGTTGTGGCACTTCTTTTGGCCCTGTTTGTTGATGGCAGAGCTTTGGGAGGGCTGTGTATAGCTGTATATCACTGTACGGGGAAGGAAGAAGGAAAAAAGACAAACATTGTACACTATTTATTCTGCTGGTCTCTTCAAGACAGCCAAAGAAAAATCGCGAAATCGAAAACTCCCAAAAATTCTTTCATATTTTTTTCTACTGTTATTCTTTTTCTGGCGCTTTTGATTTAGCTAGATTTTGAGCTCAACACCTCCTGGACAACCTTCAACACCTCGCCGTGCACGGCAGCCGGCGCGGCAATGACGCCCTTGTTGTTGGCGAGCGTCCGTCCGACGGCGAAGTCCAACCTGTTGCCCTGGATATCCGTCACCTGGCCGCCGGCCTCGCGCACAATGAGGTCGCCCGCGGCATGGTCCCAAATCTTTTCCTGGTACGTCGCTTTGACGGGCAGGCGGAGGTAGATGTCGCCCGCGCCGCGGGCGATGGAGCCGTACTTGCTCTGGCTGTCCATGCGGACGCTGGGCTTGGTGATGCCGAGCTTGGCAGCGATCTGGGCCTGGTCGTCGTGCGCGCTGTGGCCGGCCTCGACGCTCTCGCAAAAGGTGGCGGCGGAGAGGTCGGTAACGGGCTTCATTGAGATGGAGCCGCCGTCGGAGGCGATGGCGCCGGTGCGGAGGGGTCGCGAGGTGGCGCCCTGGCCGAGGACGGCGGAGAGGATGACGCCGTAGCCCGTGTCGTCGTTTGCGTTGGAGCCAATGTCGGCGGCGAGGGGCGCCTTGTCGTCGACGGGGAGGTTGGGGCAGCCGAGGACGCCGACTTTGACGTCGCCATCGACCATGAGGGCCAGGCAGACGGCGTATTGCCCTCCGCGGAGGAAGCCCTTTGTGCCGTCAATGGGGTCAATGGCCCAGATGCGGCCGGCGGCGCCGCCCTTGCTGTTTCCTTGGTCGATGATGTCCATCATGCTCTCGGCGGAGGCGATGCCGCCGCCGAGGGAGGCTTCCGCGGCGGCGTCGTCTAGCTTGGTCGTCTTGACGAGGTCAAAGATCTGGTCGCGGAGGTTGGGTTCGGAGCGAAGCTGAGCGGCCTCTTCTTCGGCGACGATCTCGTCGTCGGGGAAGTGGTGGCGGAGGGCGGCGATGATGAGGGCCTGGGCGCCAAAGTCGCCGATGGTGACGGGGGACTTGTCGTTCTTGTCGACGGTGCCCTTTGCCTTTTCGTGGAAGACGCGCTTGGTGAGGATGGAGGCGCGCTGGACGGCCAGCTGGGCTACCTCGAGCTCCTTTGCGTAAGTTGACATGGCGGAAGACTTCTTAAAGGATGTGGACGAGGAAGAGAAGAGGGTCGTGGTCGTGGTCGTGGTGAGAGGGAAGAAGTGGTTCGAGAGGAGGGAGAGCCGGGGGAGAGCTCGTAGAGATAGAATAGCCAGGGTCACGACGAGAACGGAGGAGATGAGGAAGGGCACGAAAGAGAGACGAGAGGTGGGTTCCGGTCTCGTTTTGTTGTTTCCGCTTGATAGTCGGACCTTGGAGGGCATGGAACGTCTAAACGTAGTACGTACAAGAGGAGGAGGTCAAAGGGGGTTTGTGTGGATGCGCAATGTGGATATGGACAGTGGAGGAGGGGGAAAGTTGTGTCCAAGAGACAAAGCTCCTTGGATCCTGGCTCGCTCTCTGGCTCCAGCATGTGTTTAACATGGCGGCTGTTGCGTCATGGGATGGGCCATTGTGGACGCACAAACGAGTCAATTCGCTGGACAGACCAACTTTGCGCAGTAGTAGGTATCCGTAGAGCTAAGGTATCGATCGCTTTTTAACGCTCCTCCACTTAATCCTTTCTGTGGATAAGGTACCTACGAGAAGCAGAGAAAAATCAGACTTGGAGAACAAGATGCTGGGGTGTGGTGGTAAGCATTTGCTGCAACTCGGGAGCTTTGAATTGCTCCGTCAAGGAGGGGTCGAGAGTCAAGACCCCTCCATCCGTGCTTGTTCCCGGTGCCGGCGCCGGGCCATGGGACCGATAGCCGCTCGATTCATGCTGCTGTGCTGCAAGTTCCTCCATACTTACAGCCTATATTTGTAAGTACGGAGGAACCTTAGCACTAACAGCTCAGGTTATGTAATTCGAGCTGCAGGCGGCATCCATCCAAGGGTACCTGGTGCGTGCTGTATTCAAGTGCCTGAGGTGACAGGAGATTTCAAGGCAAGAACCTGCCCGAAAGTCTGAGGTGCAGCAGGGCCCGCCAAGGACGCGGGATCCACCCGCTGAGCGCACCGGGAGAACTCCAGAGAAAGGAGGACCCCCGGCCTCGGATTTCGATGTTCTCAATTGTAAAGCTTCAATCCGAAAATTCCCATCGCATCGTCACGACCACGACGACGACGACCACCACCACCACCACATCCTCCGCCGCTGCTCCCAACTATCTGGGTCTCACATCTCAGAACCGAACAGAACGCAATCAATCAAACAGCCAAAATGACGACCGTCCCTCATCTCCGCTCCCTCTACCGCTCCCTCCTGCGCGAGCTCCCGCCCCGTCCCGTCCTCGCCCGCGAGCGCTCGGCAATCCACAACCGCCTGCGTACCAGTTTCGCCCCCGCCGCCACGACAGCCACAGCAGACGCAACGCGCGCCGAGGCCGACGCCGCAGTGGCCGAGCAATTCGCCGCCTACCTCCGCGCCCAGCGCACCTACGTCACCCTCGTCGAGCGCTACAACCCGGGCATGAACATGGACGAGGAGGAACGCGTGCGCTTGACGGCGCGGAGGGTCGGTATGGATCTGCCAAAGGAGTTTAGCGACCGGTTGAACAACAACTGAAGCACGAATGGTTGACGGTGGGTGTGTATGGGCTTGTCGGATGTTTTCGAGCTTTTCCGCGAGGGAACTACAGACTGGAGATGGGGTCCAAAGACTGAGCTCATTTGTTTGCTCCGAGAGAATTCCCGACTGGCCGCCGATTGGAATCGAGGGGAGTATTATCGAATCAAGGAAGACCCCTTGATGAGGACACAAAAGCACAAGATCGTGGCGACGGCACACGGGGTGACACACCAAGCCTTTCCACCATTGGAAGAATGGCCATGTGCCGTATTTGTAAATGTAACATAACGGGCGTTTGGGTGGGAAAGTGTTGTATGACAAATACCGCTGTATAAAGGGGACACAATCACCAGAGGGGACAGATATCAAACACTACGAATCACTTTGAAATATTTGAAAGCCCTCATGCCGTTCAATATCATGTCTTCGTGCCATGTCTAGCTAGTTCCCGGGTCGCAAAACCCCCCTAGAGTTTCTTGGAAAAGTATATACAAGAAGTGTAAACAAGAGTCGTCATACGCAAAGGGGTATCAACGTCTTCGTCGCCGTGAAGATATAAAGAAGAAATCATGTCCCACTATCTTCCCTCTCCACTGTCTGTCCTTCTCTCGTCTATTGCAAAAAAAGCTTCTTTTTAGACGCTGCCGACACCGCCCTCCTCCAGAGTCTCATCCCACCCTCCCGTCTCGAGCAGATACTCACCCAACATCTGCTTCACATTCTTGATATTCTCGCCCAGCGCACTCGTCCACTGGTCCTGCACGACACGCACCTTTTCCTTCAAGTCGTCCGTCAGCATACGACCTTCCTCCTCGCGAAGACGGTGTGCGCGCGCTTCCCGCTCCTCGGCGCTAAACTCCCTGCCCCGCCCATCGTCCATCTCGTTCTGCACCACCTTGGCTTTCGCGTGCGTGACAGCTTCCTTCACCTCGTGAAGCAGACACAAGAGGTTCGTCTGCGACTCAATGAACTGGTACGTGCTCTTCTCCGTGTGCAGCAGCAGACTAAAGAGGTACTGCAGCGGATGCCGGCGATACGACGGGTTCTCGTCATACTCATCCGACGGGATCTGAATGTGCAGCACCTCAGGGTCAGCCGGCGTGATTTTGTCGAGCAGCCGGCACAGAGGCGGTGCAATATCCCAAAACGCAGAGAGCTGCACCTCGACGCCGCGCATGACGTTGCGCTCCATGACGGCCTGGAACTCTTGCGTGCGCGCAAACACCTCGTGCGTGAACGCCAGCTGCCGCTTCGCGGCGTCCTCGGCGAAGAAGGCGACGGCGTTTTGGAGCTTTTCCTCGTTGCCGGCCAGGCGGTAGGGCGTGAGGACGACGTCGCGGTAGCGGTTGTTGCGGTCGGTGAGGACGTCAAAGATGGCGCGGTGCAGCATCTCCCGCGCCTCAAAGATCCATTTGAGCAGCGTTAGCTTCTCGAGAAGCTCGGGCTTGTCGTCGCCTTCTTCCTGGGGCATGTCGGCGGCGCTGGCGACGTCGTCAAAGAGGCCGCCCGCCAGCTTGTCGAAGAGGGTCGTTGCCTGGGCGATGCGCCCGGTGATGAGGTCGTTTAGGGGCATGACGACCTGGCTTTGGAACTGCTCGAACTCTGTCTTGCCCAGCTCTTTGAGTTTATCCTTTTCGGCTGCTACCGAGTCTTGTTCGATGGCTGATGCATCGGCGAACGTCATGTTGCCGACGTCAATTTCTTGCTGTAAGTTGGAGCGCACAGCACGTCGCCTCTCGGTGGAGGCTTTTGCGGCTTCTTCACGCTTCTTTGCGCTGGTGACTTGGAATCTTTCTTTTGTAGTTTCAATCTCGGACAGGTCGCTGATCTGACGAACTGCCACTCTAGTCTCGGTCAATTCTGGGTGGTTGTTGTTTACGGCTGGGTGGTGACGAGGGTACGGCGGCGGGAGAGTGACCAGTCGAGAGACGTCCAGGTGGGCTGGATTCGGCGTCGTCGGCGAAGCTGAGGACCCCAGAGATTCCGATGAGTACCGGAGTGGCTGCGGCGTGACCACGGGCTCATTCAGGTCATGCCAACCTGTCTTCTCGGGCGGATACTCGCCCGAAGATCTCGGGTTGCTAGGGCCTGCTTGCGGGCTATCCTCCCATTGCAAGGCTTCGTGAGCCTCCTTTGGCACGCCCATATACTTGGACTCTCTCTTGGACCTTTCGACAAATTTCCCTCCTGCCCCTGACGAGTCTGCCTCCCACCATCTACTGGCAGGCCGGCCCCGGGAGTCCCCATCATCGTGATTGTCACTCACGCTGAGACTCAATATCGGAGACAGCGATGGCATGTAGTTGGAAGAGTAGTTTGGGTTGTTTGCCGAAGGTACAATGGGCGAGCCCGGAACGTTCGCAGACGTAGGAGCGGAACTAGATTCCCCGGGCGTCTCGCGATAGACCGAGTTCATCGATCCGCGATGGGATCGTGTAGGTTCAGATGACTGGGGTGTCCACTCAGCCTGGGAAGTTGTCGACTCACGCCGCGTGACCATGGGGCGGAAGAGATCCCTGGTCAAGTCAAAGATCTCGGAGCCCATTGCGCCGATGGCAGATGAATATCTTTCGCGCCTGATCCTGGACTCGTTCACGATGAAGTCTGCAAACATGCGAACCCGCTCGGCGTCGGTTGCCGCAGTGGACTCTTGGGTAGCGAATGCCTGGAATCGCTCAATCGTTTCGCAGCAAAACTGATCCGCGGTCTGCGTAATGACAATATGCTTTGTGGACAAGATGGACGCGGACGAAGGGCCGTCCGCAGGCGTCATGGAGCTGAATCTTGTCTGAGAGCTCGATGCTGATCGGGTTTGTGGCGGCGGCGTTGGCAGCGCCTTTGGCAAGACGCTTGGTGATCCATCCATCATGGGTGTGCCCTTTGACGGATGAGGTGAGAACGGCGGCGTTGCCGCTTCAATTCGGGTTCGTGAAGACGACGAAGCAGGCGCCCGCGGCGTAGTCGAATGCTCGTCGGTCCGGGGCGTGTCGTTGGATGTCCGCCCCCCGCTTCTTGGTCCCGATCTGTTGATCGTCAACCTGCGAGACAGTGTATTTTCATTCGGAACAACAATGTCGTTGAGCTGAACTGGGTTGATGGTCCCGTCTATGGAGTTATGCGGTCTGGTCCGACTCTCGGCACGGCGCTGAACGATGGTCTTGTCGTGGCGGACTGCTCTCGCCCGACTCAGACTGCCACCAGAGCTCAACGCGCCGGAATTGCTCGACTCTCCGGTCTGTGCAGAGCTCGCAGCACTAGCAGTATCGATGGTCAATCTTGGAGAGTGTCTCCGGTGTGAAGAGCTACTGGGTTCCTCGGGTTGATCAACCCAGTCTGCAGGAGTCGGAGGTACTGGCCCAAGGGCCGCAACGCCAGTTGGCGGAGGACGCCTTGTTGGCGGAGAAGCCACAGGCGTAGTCGTTCTCGGCCCGCTCTGCACGCTCTGTGATCGAGACGAAGCTGGTGGTGGGACTGGAGGTGGCGGCGGGAGGGGCATTCCCGGTTCCCATCTTGACTGAGACGCCGAACGTGAGCGGGCTGAGGTTGGTGTCTCGACTGCACTGGCGGAAGCCGCTCTTCGAGCACCGGGCGGACCGTGAGATGAGTTTGGATCGTTGTGGTGTGGCATTGGATGCGGGATCTGAATCTGAAGAGGTGTTGGCCCTGGCAACGGCATAGGCGGCATCGGCTCCGGAGGGCTTGATTCTTGGGGCTCTCTGCTCCGTCTCAAGGAATGAAAACCGAAGCGCCTTTCGCGTGAGCTTGTCCGACCTCCGGTCCCCGGCGGGGGAGGAAACGATGTATTCGTCGAAGGCTCTGGGGACGGTCTGTGAAGATTCGTCGGAGGAATACGTGCTGCCGATGTATTGGCCGCTGGTGAAGACTCGAAAAAACCGCTTTGTGGTCGCTGGCTTCGTGGTGGACTATAAGGAGGCGGAGGCAATGGTGATCCTTCAAGAAACTAATCAGCAAGGCCGGTCAGGGTCAATGTGACTTTTGGATAGTACATACCTTGCTCAGGAAACTGATGGGATTGATGAGACCTTTCGGATCCAGCAGCAGGTGAAGCTATCCATTCTTGTGGGTTGTAAGGTTGTATTGCGCTTGCCGGCGTGTGAGCAGCTGAGTGTAAGTGCGATGAGGACACGGCTGACAGCGGCGTGTGAGCCTGGTTGTGGTATGCACCCAGAGACTGAGTTAACAGCGGATTGAGACCCTGGCGCAACCGGGTTGGATCGCGAGGATTGTTCATTGTAAGCCAGACGGCAACACGCTGAGTTGAGCAACTCCGGCGACGTCAGAAGCTTGATAAGAGTTGTGGACTCGGAATGACACCGGAGTCGGCTCGAGGAGACGAGGACGACTTAGACCCTCACTGGAGTTGAGGATACCTCAGCCAGCAACTTGCCGACCTCTTCACAAATCTTCCACTCTTTACCAGCCCATTCAACTTGACTGACGGAAAGACAATCTCATGTCGCGGAGCACACCGCACAACCGAGAGGACGGACAGGCAGCCGGCAGTAAGGTCGTGTCACACCTAGAATGGGGGAGGGCGCGGCTGAAGCGAAAAGTGAACAAAAGTTTGGGTGGGAGGACGCAGAAGATAAAAGAGACGCTCATGTCTAGGCCGGGTCTGCTGCAATGTGGTCAACCTCCTGCATGAGAGGTACATACATCCCACCCCACGTACAGGAGGGTACCGGGGTTGCTGGCTCGCTCTTGGCTCACGCTTGATCGCCCGCCGACAGAACTGCACCCCTGTGGCACCCCTACTCTTGGGTGGCCGAGATTCAAGACATTGGGGTGAGAGGGAGGAGGGGCATGGAGAACAGCGGGCTCTCGGGAGCACGAGAGGAAACGACAAGAATAGCAGTCGGATCCCGGAGCAAAAGCGCAATGGTGGATCTCGAAGCCGGGACTAAAAGGCAGTTGATGCTCAGCGCTGAGTTGTTGCAACTTGCAGTAAACATAGTAACTAGCTCGTTTCCCGACTTTGCTGCAGAGCACATATGTACCTCATAGCGGGAACAGATACATGACAGGGTATTGAGCTAATTCGAAGTGGGTGTCAAGGAATGGGTACGTTGGTCCATCCGCGAGGGGCAGCACTTGCTTGCTTGCGGCATGGGGGTTTGAAAGCGAGCCGGACAGCAAAGTGCGGAAAGACCAGCAACATCCCATGTGGCTGTCGCGACTGCATGACAGGCCTGCAGATGCCGACAAAGCTAAGGTGCTACTATCCGCGTTGCTGTTGTCTCGTCTCGGGTCCGCCGTTGCAGTTAAATCTCTGGCTTTCTTCTCCTTCTTGTGAATGATGAAATAGCGTGGTAATGCTACGACGACCACCGGCCAAGACGGCATGCTAGAAAGTAGGGAGGCATGAACCTCAGAGTCAGGGTCGCAGTACTGAGTATTATCGAACCGACATAGCTAGCGGACCTTATCACAGTATACCTACCTTAGCAATACTTTGAACAACCAACGAGAAGAAGCGAGCATGGAACATAGCATACGCAAAGGCTCGTAGCGACCTGCCACGGCCCAACAAGAGGAAAGATGAGTGAGCATCGCGCCAGGGTCTGGTCCAAAGTGGCCTGTCATTTTGATGGAGCCAAGAGAAGAGACTCGTGGAGACGTTGGTAGGCGGCCGTAACAATTGGTTGATTTTCTGGTGGGAGGTCAATCTATTCTTGGAACCATCCTTAGACCCTGGCTAGCGAAAGAGACATCTGGGGTTGTGATTGGTTGATGGCGCTGTGAAAAGAACGTGGAGGTGATTGTCGGCGCTTAAAATGCTCTTCGATTTGCTCGACAGTCTGAAAGCCCTCTGTGAATTCGTTGCTCTCCCGGCCCTACTTCCTCTCCGCGGCCGCCGTCCGCCCGATAAAGCTGGACGAGTGATTCGGTTGTTGGCTAGCAGCCTTGAAGGGAGACAGGCATTAGCGTTGAGCAAGCTTGGGTCCTAGTCAGAAGCCAGACCTCGGGGATCTTTCTCACCGACTTGTTGCTTGTTTGGAATTTTGGCCGTCTTTGGAGTTTATATCGGGTGGCTGGGCCGTGTCCTGTAAGTTGTAACTGAACAGGGTTGAGGTACTAGATAGCTTCCACGTGAATGAAGAAACCTCCTGTGGGTACGTGAAGCTGCGGGGTTGGATGCAAAGAACAGGCATGGAAGTTCTAAATATTGCTCAATCCTGTTTGCTAGGAATGATTTGGCTTTGCTGAGTGCCCGAGAGCTGGGAATGGAGCTCATCGATACCGTCAAACGTTTCCTTGACTGCACGACCTTGAAGAGTGCATCGAGCATCTGGTAGGTATCTCATTACTGTGCAACGAGGCAACTTGGCAAGCATCGGCACTGCGGCAATCAGCCAGTCGAGCAGGTTTCATCCGTTAAGATCCCGTCCTTAGGCCTCTTCACGGTAACATCGTGTGAATGCAATGGTCAGAACGTAATCACTCAATGGCATTGCAGACTGCAGATAACCCTGCCCCAGAGAGCACGGAAATAGTAGGCCAAGAGCGGACGATGGCCGCGCGGGAGCGACCACATCCGGCTTCCAGAAGACGGCCTGGAAGGCACTCAGTTTGCATATTGGCCTGCAAGCCAGCCGTTTCATCTGACATGGTTTGACGTGAATAGATAGCAAGTGGTGTTTGCATCTTTGTGAGCTGGACTTGCTTGCAGCCATAGGTATCGTGGACGAGGTCTCATCGAATCGATGTTCTCTTTTGCTGCTCGAAGTTCGGCTAGAGACCAAAGGATGAAAGAAAAGGCATGTGGACGACTCGCATTCGGATTGATAGAAGGCATTTTTGACAAATGGTTTGCCTGATGAGCCGACATCTGCAGTTCCATGCACAGGCTCCAAGATATCTCGATTCTCGCCTAACTCATTCAGGGATCTGGTCCAACTTGAGGAGAAAAGAAGAAAGCTGCAGTGGCGACGCAGTTTGCACACTGCCCTGAAACTCTGACCAGCTTGAGACAAGGAAAAAGAGTTGAGTAATCCGAGCCGAGCTTGTAGGCCCGTCTATCCGTGGATCTTGTGGTACACAAAATGGATTTGGACGAACGATGAACATGTGCAACTTCGCAAGAATGTTGAGCAGGCAGCTTCACCATGAGGCAATATATTCCAAATGCTGCAATAAGCACAGGCCACGCTCGGTCAACCAATCTGGTGACCTCAGACAGGCAGGTCGGACACGAGTAAGGTGGGGTTCAGCCGCAACCACGGGCAAACTAATCGGCCGAATATTTACCGCCCGCCCACCTGGCAGCGGAGAGACCGTCAGAATTCTAGAGCTTTCTTTCAAAAGAGGTCCCGCGCTCAGATTTAATCCCATCTTCCTTTTCTTTCCATGCGCAACGCTTTCTTGGACATGACACTCCAACGCGCCAATCCGCACTGAGGTAAGGACTGACTCCCCCCAATCTCAACCCTTCTTTATCTACCCTGCGCCTCTTTTTCCTTTCCCTCTTCTCCCAATATGATGATACACCAGCTGGCACCAGTCATAGAGTGATTTGTACTCCCTTATTGATGAAAAACGCTGCGGTCTATTGACCAACCACTGATCCGGGACAATCCGACAATTTTGTTTACTTATTCAATCTTACGCTACCTCGCGACGCATTTGGTTCCTTTGCTAACCTTGCAATTGGAATCTTTACAGACACCCATTTCCTACCTCGCAGCCTAGATCAGAAACCGAGTCACCGCCGACAAGATGGTCCTCCACAACCCCAACAACTGGCATTGGGTCAACAAGGATGCCTCGGCCTGGGCGAAGCAGTACCTTGAGGAGAGCTTGGCGAAAGTCGAGACTGCCGATGGCGGTGTCACGGCAAAGATTAGCAAGGTTGTGAGCATGGATGGCGACGTCGACGTTAGCCAAAGGAAGGGCAAGGTCATCACCATTTACGATGTTAAGCTCGTTCTAGAATACACCGGTAGGTCCATCAATGCAAGCACATGTGTTTCGTCCCGTAAATATCTCGGTCAACCGACTTTCTCTGCCTGACATTGTACCATTTTTTGTGAAGTCGTGTGTTCTGGAGCCTCGCTAACGTAGCGCAGGCACCACCGCCGACGAGGCTGAGGTCTCTGGCACCATCACCGTTCCTGAGGTCGCCCACGACACTGAGGAGGATGAGTTTGTGGTGGGTCTCCCTTCCGTGAAATCTCTGCATCGTTGAAAGGACTCCCCGGTTTTACTGAGACTTTTGCCTGCCTGCTAGTTTGACATCGACATTTACTCCGACTCCAAGGAGAAGCAGCCTGTCAAGGACCTCGTCCGCTCCAAGCTCGTACCGGAGCTTCGTAAGGAGTTCCTCAAGCTCCCCGGAGCCTTGATCGCCGAGCACGGCAAGGATATCCAGCATGCTCCCGGATCCAACCCCTCCAGCGGCTTCTCCACGCCAAAGTACCAGTCTCAGAACACGGCGGCCAAGTCCACCTCGGCCTCGACCAGCGTCAAGGGTAGCTCCGGCAAGGTCGTCAACACCATGACTCTGACCGACACCGCCGAGTTCCGCACCACGGCCGAGGAAGCTTACCAGACCTTTGTCGACCCCGCCCGCATCGCCGCCTTCACCCGCGCGCCGCCCAAGGTCTTCCAGGGTGCCATCAAGGGCGCAAAGTTTGAGCTGTTCGACGGAAACGTCACGGGCGAGTACCTCGAGCTCAGCGCCCCCAAGAAGATTGTTCAGAGCTGGCGCCTGAAGCAGTGGCCCGAGGGCCACTTCTCCAAGCTCAGCATCGAATTTGACCAGAACGACGTCGACCACGTCACGCTGATGCGTGTCAACTGGGACGGCGTCCCTGTCGGCGAGGAGGAGGCCACGAAGCGTAACTGGCAAGAGTACTACGTCAACAGCATCAAGCGCACCTTTGGGTATGTTGCCACATGTGATCGTGATTCGTGCTGAGTAGCATCCCTTCTAACATATGCTGTTACTTAGATTCGGCACCATTCTGTAAGCTTGCGCTCAAGTTGAAGATGGATTTCGGACAAATGGCGGCCACATCAAGCCATACTCCTGCTTCAGAAGTGTGAAACTTTCTGCATTCGGTGGGCTGGTGTGGATAAGCGGTGTGGAGAGTTCTGCGGTATACATCACTAGATCCTCAGATTGGCTACACAAGCCCTGAGTAGCTGGGGCGTCTGAGATTCCCTTGGGTTCAGCAGCCCCAGGTACGAATTAGATGAGACACGTTGAAATGAAACAAAGACAAACGTCGA